GCCCGAACCGGTTTGGCTCAGTGGGTAGAGCGTCGGCCTGCGGACTCAAGGGTCCCAGGTTCGATTCCGGTCAAGGGCATATACCTGGGTTGCGGGCACATACCCAGTGGGGAGTGTGCAGGAGGCAGCTGATCGATGTTTCTCTCTCATCGATGTTTCCTAACTCTCTTTTCTCTCTGTAAAAACACACACACACACACACACACACACAAAAAGAGGGGCTACAAATAGCAGATTGCACTATTTGTGGACTCGTGGGAATCTGAGGGCACCAGGCAAGCTCTCCCTGAAATCGGGATGGTTTAAAAGGAACACTTGCATCTCGTTCCGGAAGTGTTTGTTAAACATTTGCCCACGGGTTAGAGGTGCAGACCCTGCGGCTGACTGCCTGGGTCTCACTCGTTAGCTTGCATGACCTTGAGTAAGGCTACTTCGTGCATCGGTTTCTCATTTGTAAAATGACCTCCCTTCTTAGCTCAGTAGCGTTTCAGTTAGTTTCCTTGGGTTGTCTAGGCATACAATCATTTCAGCAAATACTAATTTGGCATCATCCTTTCCAGTGTTTACGGATATTAAACCTGTAATAACATGTTGGCAGTAATGGAGATTCACTTAAAGGTCATTGGAGTGATGGGGCTAAGCAGCTTCGGGAAGACTGGACTCAAAATCAGAGAAGCTGGCCCCTCCCACGTGGTTCAGTGGTTGAGCCTCGACCCATGAACCAGGAGGTTGGGTTCAATTCCCAGTCAGGGCACATGCCCAGGTTTCAGCGACCCCCCAAGTAGGAGGCATGCAGGAGGCAGGCAGCCGGTTGATGATTCTCTCATTGGTGTTTCTGTCTCTCTCTTCCTCACCTTCCTCTCTGAAACCAGTTTTAAAAAAGGAAAAAACAGAGAGGCTGAAGGCGAAGCGAACAGCTAAGATGTCACTGCACATGATACCATGTCCTGGACCAGAACTGGCTGAGAAAGACAAAAAGGGTATGAATGGGAGAGATTCTGATATTAGCCACTATCGTTGATGATGTGAATTAACATTATCACTCAATATGATACTAAGGTTTTAAACCTGAACTATAGTCGTCTGATAGTGATGAAAATAATGGCATAAAATTAACAGGAAGAAAAACACAATGCACAAGCGGGTAGTGGGAGTCTTGACTAAAATTATAATCTGAAATTGGTTAAACAATATCTTTAGTGTTAAACATTCAGCCAGTTTTTTGGGTTATGTTGAACACTGGCATGCTCTTTGGTGGATGTAGTTGATGAGCCTCTTAAATGATTTTTTAAAAATAAAGGCTCGGGAATATTCTAGAAAGTGGAGGCAGAGGGCCTGGTGTAATAAAATATGAATAGAATACATACTCACCTTTATTTACGAAACCGTACATGGTAAGGTTTTGCCTACATCCCAATTTTATCTCCTGTCCACTACCTACTGGCTTCTGCAGCCTTCTCTCTGTTGGTCAGGAGCAGCAGCCAGCCCTCATGTCGGGGCCACCATGCTTGCTGTTCCCAGACGGGGCTGGTGGCTCCACGCCTTTGCATGGCTGCCTCCTCATTTTCGGGTGTCTGTCTGAATGTCACCTCCAAGAGGCTTTTCTGGAACCCACTCAGAGGCAGTCCTCCTTCCCAGTCACACTCTGTCATATCATCCTGTTTGCCTTCCTATCTCACAGAAAAGCACAGTTCTTAACATGTTATAAAGTCAAGCTCATTAATTAATTTTTTTAAATATATATTTTATTGATTTTTTACAGAGAGGAAGGGAGAGGGATAGAGAGTTAGAAACATCGATCAGCTGCCTCCTGCACACTCCCTACTGGGGATGTGCCCGCAACCAAGGTACATGCCCTGGACCAGAATCGAACCTGGGACCCTGAGTCTGCAGGCTGATGCTCTATCCACTGAGCCAAACCGGTTAGGGCAAGCTCATTAATTTAAATGTTCCCTCTATCAGCCAGACTACAAGCCCATGAGAGCAGACTCTTATTCATGGCTGTTTCTAAGCTTCCAAAACCCTACCTGGCACAGACAAGCACTCAGATGTTTTGAATGAATGACATAGGAATCATTTCTCTCTAGCAGCCCATGAGGCAAAGGGTGGCTGGGGTTCCAGACCCGGGAGCACTGGAACAATCTTGGGAGAGAAGAGAGTGCAGCAAGAAGTGATAGTCCAGCTGGAAGCATCCTTCAAGCAGGAGATGGCAAGTGAACTATAGGAGCAAGGACTCAAAAGGTGCAAAGGAAAGGAGACGGAGTGTTACAGAGTGCCTGCAGGTGGGAAAGGCCCGGGTTTAGCCTTCTGCTAGGACTGAAGTGGGACTACAGTGGGTAAGGGGGGAATATCAAAAGGACAGGCTGAAGAAGTCATCTGGACCCATGAATTTTGAACATTTGGTGATATCCATACAAAATAGTTAAAAGATGGGGGAGAAGTGGGGGTCACCTGTAATACTCCCAACAATAAAGATAAATTTTTTTAAGAAATGGTTAAAAGGGTCCTAAACATGCAAATTTTTAGGGTAAGGATAACCCCAAAATTCCTTTTAATAAAAGATAATGTTTTTATTTATTTTTAATATATTTTATTGATTTTTTACAGAGAGGAAGGGAGAGAGATAGAGAGTTAGAAACATCGATGGGAGAGAAACATCGATCAGCTGCCTCCTGCACATCTCCCACTGGGGATGTGCCCGCAACCCAGGTACATGCCCTTGACCGGAATTGAACCTGGGACCTTTCAGTCCGCAGGCCGACGCTCCATCCACTGAGCCAAACCGGTTTCGGCAAAGATAATGTTTTTAGAAAACATGAAATAGGGCCCAGCCAGCGTGGCCCGGTGGTTGAGCATCAACCTACGAACTAGGAGATCATGGTTTGATTCCCAGTCAGGTCACATACCAGGTTTCGGACTCGATCCCCAGTGTGAGGTGTGCAGGAGGCAGCCAGTGATTCTCATCATTGATATTTCTCTCTCTCCCCGACTCTCTGAAATCAATAAAAATATATTTTTTACAAAAAGAAAACATGAAATAAGCATTCCAATCAACTTATGTTTCACAAGGCCTACGGGTGAGTGTTGATGAGATCACTCATTTGGTGGCATCCAAATTCAATGAATTGGTCCTTCTAAGCACCAAGCTATTAAGTTAAAAAGATCATATAATCTATTTGAAAAAATTTTTTCAAAGTTTGTGCCCAACCCCAATTAAGGCTAAAATGGATATATAACCCTCATAATTTGAGGATTCTATTAGTCCTGGTAGAGTTCAATTATTACAGTTAGATTCTAGTGTCCAGAGTTGGATAAAATAAGGGAAAACCAGCACTCTTAAAAATTGTTATCATGTGGTTTAGCCCCGAGTTAAAAATAATTGAGCCAGCATTCAAAACTTAATTTCAAATAAAAATGTGGGATTCTTAGCTTCTGAGAAAAGATCTGAGGCTCTAGTAATAATGGGCCCTTTGGCAGCAGTTAGCTGGAACAGAGTGTCAGTGGGCGCCCAGGCCTGCTATATTCATCACCATGGTCCATAAAATGCTTCTCCAACCTCACTCTGCACTGGAAACCCCGGGGGTCCTGTTAAAAACAGGCTCTCAGTAGGTCGGAGTGGGGCCTGAAACTGCATTTATGAAGTTATCGGGGTGGTGCAGACGTCGCTGGTCCTCCAACCAAACTTTGAATGGCAAGGCTATGAATTAACAATAAACACACATAAAAACGGAAATAAAAAAGCAAACATTACCTTTATTTAATAATCTGTGATATTTAAAATACAACTTATAGAACATCCACATTAACAATAGAATCCTGTGTTCAACAGTGATTTGGAAGCCCGGCTTTTCTAAGGACCAGACAGGAAGGCCTGTGTGTGTACTAACGGCGAAAGACTCAGACGGGTGCACAGACAAGGGCTGCAGAGTTGAGTCCTGAGCAAATGGCACCGTCACAGTGCACTTGTGTCATGGCCAAGACAATGCTTTTTATTTCAGATGTTTTTGTAGTTGAATTTCAAATAGTTTATTTATATAGAAGACTGATTTTTAAAAAATTATTTCTAGTAATCCAGTGTTGTAGAAAGTAGATAACCACATTCAAATGTACATTTGCCTCTTTAAAAAAAAAACATTAAAAACATTCCCAGAAACATTCACCTTTGAACTATGCCAGAGAAAACTGACGTGCTTCCTCAGTAAGTCAGGAATTTCCACATATACTTCACTACTGCTTCCCACTCCTTGATTCATTATTAATTTAGCATGCCAACTGCTGTGAATTTAGAAGTATGCTACTAGTATTACTTCTTAAAATGCCAGCTCAGTTTGGGTGAAAATAAAAACAGCAAAGATTTCCTTCAAATTTAAAAAAATCAAAATTCAGGAATTAACCAACTACGTCAATAATCTTTTTGTTCATGAAAGCAGAATGGAACAAAAAATATCTTTGTTATGTGTAAGGCTCTAAAAGATACAAGCCAGTTCACTTCTTTAGCAAAAGATACTGGTTATAAAGGGACCAGGAATGAAGGAAAGTTTTTATTTGAAAATATTAGCTCGGCTGGTGTGGCTCAGTTGGTTGAGCATCACTCCATACACCGGAAGGTTGCCAGTGGGATCCTAGTTAGGGCAAGTGCCTGGGATGCGGGTTTGATCCTCATTCAGGGAGCATACATCGGGCAACCAATAGGTGTCTCTCTCTCTCTCTTCCTTCCTCTCTAAAGTCCTCTGGTGAGGATTTAAAAAAAAAAACACAAGAAAAATTATCTACACTACTGAGATTAGTTGATCCAATGTTTTTTCTTAATTAAGATCACACACATGTCCATACTTGTGAGGCCCTGATGTAACAATTCACTTTGAAAGTAGTGGTCATAGGCCTCTCTAATTGCAGGTCAAGTTTTTAGTAGGAAGCCATCAATATTAATTATTGAATCTTCCTCAGAATTTAACACATCAAGATTTTTCAACTGAAGATATTTCAATTATTATATTTTGTGTATGTACTGAGTCAATTCTTTTTTTTAATTTGGACAGGTCGAATGGGCCAATTTTAAGACATTTAGTAAATCTTGGCACTAGCATGATACTATTAAATATAGTATCAAACAAGCAGACATTAGAAATGTGATTTAGGCTCTGACTAGAATAAAATTTACTTTATTGAACTTACTAGTATGTGAAACAATGTAGACTATGGGTAATTTTGCATATGAGTCTCAACTAGTTTTGAGGTTTTTTTCCTCATTAACTTTGGCATGAATAAAGTCTTAATTAAGAAAAATAAAGTTTTAAAGGAAAAAAAAAGCACCTTCTTAAATATTCTGTGAATTGTAAATTATTTGGCCAAGATCTTAGAGCTGAGTGAAATATAGTTTACCTACTGCAATCACTTCAAACAATTTACAGTACTGAAATATTTGTAAGTTAATTTCTGTAAAAATGTAAATTGATGGTTTTAGATCAGAGGTTAACTATTCCAAAATTTAAAACATAAATAACTATTTATTAAATCTGACATCTCAAAATATGAAAGTGGCATTTCCAAAGCTTGTTTAAACTTTACTTCTAACACTAGCTTTGCCACTGTATGTATTTTATCCTAGTAATACAAACTATACATTAGAAAAATGATACCAATAGTTTAAATATTAAACATTAAGGTGTTCCCAATTGGTGAAACAGAATGGAAATCTTAATATAAAGTTGTTAGCAGGACAGTTGTGAATTTTATTGTTCCTTTCTTCTACGTTGTTTATAGTAAACAGCAGTTCCTGATGTGTGATCTGTAGCTTTTTGTAACTTTTACATTTTCTGATACTGTGGTTATGAGCACTGGCATCTTTTCATACTGGCCAATCAATGGAATTTAAATGTTCAGTTAGACTTAACCTAGTCCAAACAAGATGGCACTTTACTGGTGATTTTGGATCTGCCTGCCAAATATAACAATGTCACAACAAACTAAATAAACACATTGAAATGTATCCAGTGTGTGCTCAGCTTTGCTTTTTAAAAAATCCCTAGCAAATGAAGGTCAACATGCTATATTTCCCTAAAGGCTTTGACAAAGGTATGTAATATAAAAACTTTATAAACTCTAGGTTAAAACTTATGTGTATTCGTCCTCTCATTTTTATATTAAGTAGCTCATCAATTCAAGTGAATGAAGAGTTTTAAAGTAAATTTTCAAGGGGAAAAAATAAAGGCCAAATACATATTTTGATATGTAAGTCTTGAAAGAGTAGTACTAAACTCTAACATCACTTGCAGTTCTAAAGTTTTATAATTCTTCTGAAACATTCTCAATTGTCAAAAGAAAACTAGATTTTAAAGCAAAATTCTAATTTTATGTAAGGGAAACTTCAGAAGACTTCATTTGGCACAAAATAATGACTAAAAAAATCTGTCTTTTTCCAAGAAAAAGCTTTATCATAATTATAAATAAAATGCATTTTCTCATCTCTTTTCACTTAGCAATAAATCCTAGATAAAAAAAAATTTCCCTGATAAAATGTGTGCAGCCACACACCAATATGGCAACACACCATATTTTATTTTTCTAAGTCATCGGCTGCAATGTCTTCTTACATTTCAGCTTATAAACAATTTGACATTCAAAAGGGCTTCAAAGGGGATGGAGGATGAGGGATGCAGAGTAGATGACAGAATCTAAAACACCCATTTCAAAGAGACCTAGTTAATTTTCACCTAAATCATACCATTGTATTGACCTAGCAAGAAACTCTCTGGTCATCCCCAAGAATGCTTATCAAAACTAAAGACTTTCTTATTTACAGACCCATTCAGTTCTATGTGACTTCTATAATTCTTAAGCTATTTTAAACAACCAAGTGTTGAATCACAGTATAAATTTTAATATATTTTATGAGTAAATTATTTTCATGTTCCAGACCATCATCTCTGGCAAGCTATACCTATTAGAAGATGTACAGCAGAAGCTGACATCTATCTACATTCCATGACCCAGCTGTAAACAGAACAGACAGCTCCATCACAAGAGAAAAAAAATAAATTGGCTCCGCTACTAAAATTGAAGGCCAAATTTTGTCTAACATACATTCATGGTGGGTATTAGATGCTGTCTCACACCAGAAGGAAACTTGCTTGCATACCGCGTTTCTGTTTTTCTCACCGGGAAAAGAGGAAAACAAACGTGCTGGAGAGAGGGTTACGACACAGCTGCAAAGTTCCAACACACTGAGAAGACATTCATGAAGCATCTGGGAAAGGAGGTGCTCACACGTTTCAGAAATGCTCGTTTATTCTTAAATACTTGTGCAGAGCTGACTTGCGAGTTTAGGAATGCACCAGAATCATGACATAATGATCCCACCTTGGAGGGCTTAAAAAGAAAAACCTCAAGAAAAATTACCATCTTTTAAGAGTTGTAGAAAAATAATAAAAACCAGGTAGCAGATAAATTGTGACCAGAGACAATAACATGAGGAAACATCCAAGTCCACCATACGTAGGTGGAGGGAGAACACTTATCCTCTGGAACCGTTCCTATTATCAACATAGAGAAGAGACACTGTCCTGAAAGGTTCATTTAGTTAACGAGACATAGAAGCAACTACTGTGTTAAGTGATGAAAGCGAGCCGATTACCTACACAGAAGGGAGGAAAAGAAAACAAAATATATGGGAAAAGTTCTGTGGCAAGAGCTTATTAGTTGGTCTGCAAAAAGAGTCAAGAAAAATGCCCTAATTTTAGACACATTAGATATTGCACACTCAAAAATGAAAAAGGAACATTGAGAAAACTATTATTAATTTCTTTAACTGCTGGATGCCTCTTTGGCTAGTATTTGAGGGATTATGACTTAGTCCTACAACTGATGCATTTTTCTACTTTCTCATCTTTTTGTTTGCAGACCACCTAAAAGTCTTATTTCCTCTGTTGAACCTCGTTCTCTTTGACACATTACTAAACAGACCCTATGCTTTAATCACACAGGACAATGTTGGAAAGTATGACTATTTTAGAGACTTGTAAAAGGTATTATTTTTTTTCTTCGGTTATGAAATTATTTCTAACAGTTTCTAAAGACATGGTCACAGCTGCCTGAAGCATGTCTTCTTCACTCATATCACCTGTGGGGAAAGAAAATACACATATTTCTTAGATATTTCTGGAAAATTATCAGTCATCAAAAGGTAAACTCTTAGAAAATGTATATGACTACTATAGTTTCCTTTTTGATTTTTAAATTTTAAAATAGTAAACTTCACTCATTTAGTTTTGTAAGTTTTGACAAATGCATTGAGTTGAATAACTACCATCACACCCAGACACAGAACTGTTCCATTGTCCCCTCCAAATTCCCTCTTGCTCCCCCCTCTTTGTGGCCAATCTCCATCCCCTAATCCTAGACAACCACTGATACATTCTCTGCCCCCCAGTTTGCCTTTCCCTGCATGTGAACATAAATGGGATGAAGCAGTATGTATGGAGCCTTTTGCGTATGGCGAAATACACATTCATTACTTAAAAAAAAAAATCTGTTTTGAAAATTTATTCACAGAAGTTACAAAGATAATTCAGACAGGACTTGGGTACACTTTGGCTCAATTTCACCAAATCTTATATAAGTATAGCTTAAGCCAAAACCTGGATATTAACACTGGTACAATGTTGTGTAGTTCTATGGTATTTTATCATATGTGCAGATCTGTGTAACCACCACCAAGACAGAGAACTGCTACAGTGCCACAAAGATCTGCCTCCTGCTATTCCTTTTATTCATGCCCACGTCTCTCCCCATTACCTTCCCTGACTGCAGTAACGACTAAGCTGTTCCCCATCACTATGAATCTGTCATTTTTAGAATGTTACACAAATAGAATCATACAGAATAAGCACTTTTGAGGCCTTTTTTTAAAAATTTTCACTCAGCATAATGCCCTTGAGAGTCATCCAAGTTTGCTGCATGTATCAATAGTTGGTTTCTTTTTAATCCTGAGTAGTATTCCAGTGTGGATGTACTAGTTTAACTATTCACCTCCTGTAAGTCATCTTGGTTGTTTCCAGTTTTTGGTTATAACAAATAAAGCTGTTAGAATTTTTGTGTGCAGGTTTTTACATGGACAGAAGTTTTCATTTCTCTGTACTAAATTCTCAGGAGTGTAACTGCTGGGTTGTGAGAAACTTCCAAGGTATTTTCCAGAGTGACTGTATTAGTTCAAATGAAATGCAGAAACCTGATCTCCCTTTACACCCCTTTAATCTCCCCTGTTTAAAATTGCCTTAAATATTTTGTATATACACACTAAAAGTCAAATCAATGTTATAATTCTTGCTTTAATCATCAAACATAACTTAGAAAACTCAAAAGGAAAGTCTAGTATGTTTACCCCTATTTTTACTCTATTATTCTTTTTTCCTTCCTGATGTTCCAGGATTACTGTTTAGAGAACTTCCTTTAGCCATTATTTTAGAGTAGGTTTACTGTGACAAAGTCTCTAATTCCCCCCCTTCATTCTTGAAGGAAATTTTCACTGGATATAGAAATCTATATTGAGAGTTCTTTTCTTTCAGCTCTTGAAAAATGTGCCATTTCCTTCTGACCTCCAAGATTTCAGATGAGAAATGTGCTATTATGCAAAATTGCTGTAGGTTATTTCTAGCTGTCTTCAGATTTTCTTTTTTGTGTCTTCCATTTTCAGAAATTAGACTTTATGTGTCTTAGTATGGATTTCCCTGGATTTATCCTGTTTGAGGTCCACTGATCATTTTGAATCTGTAGGTTTATATCTTTTGCCAAATTAGGAGAATTTTCAGCCATTACTTATTCAAATACTTTTTTAGCCCCAACCCCTTTCTCATCTTCTTCCTGGATTCTCATGGAACATGTTACATCTTTTATTATAGTCCCACAGGTCTTAAAGGCTGTTAATTTTCCTAGTCTAATTCTCTCTGTTGCTCAGAATGGGAAATTTCTTTTCTTTTTTAAATCATTTTTATTGATTCTGAGAGAGAGAAGGAAAGGGAGAGATAGAAACAGTGATAAAAGAGAATATCAATCAGTTGCCTCCTGCATGCCCCCTACTGGGGATCGAGCCAGCAACCCATGCATGTGCCCTGACTGGAAATTGAACGTGCGACCTCTTGATGCATGGGATGAGGCTGAACCAACTAAGCCACACCAGCGGGCAGAATGGGAAACTTCTTTCTGTTTTCAAGTTCACTGACTCTTTCCTGTCCTTCCATTCGCCTGTTGGATCCACCCACTAAGTTTTAAAATTTCAGTTATTATTTTTCAGTTCTAAGAGTTCCATTTAGTTCTTCTTTTAAAAAAATGTTTTTTTATTGGAAGGGAGAGAGAGCTAGAAACATTAATGATGAGAATCACTGATTGGCTGCCTCCTGCACACTACTAGGGATCAAGCCGAAACCCAGGGATGTGCCCTGACTGGGAATTGAACCATGACCTCTTCGTTCATGGGTTGACGCTCTACCGAGCCACACCAGCTAGGCTTGGATCTTTACAGCTCCTATATTTTTCTAATTTTTCACTGTTTCAAGCATATTTGTAATTGCTCATCATAGCATTTTTATGATGGCTGCTTTACAAATCCTTGTCAGAAAATTCTAACATCAGTGTCATCTAGGTAACGGTGCTTAGTAATCTTTTGTTATTCAAGTTGAACTTTTCCTGACTATTGGTATGACAAGTGATTCTGGATTGACTCCGAGACATCTGGATATTAGGAGACGTGGAATCTTATTTAAATCTTCTCTTTTAACAGGCCTCCTCCGACACAGCACCAGTGGGGGGAAAGGGTGCTACCCTGCTGCTGCTGTCAGATAGGGGAGGGTGTGTGTGATCACAACTGCTGAGCACATGTGGGAGTTCTGGCTTCCCACTGTCCTCCACTGATGTCCCCATGACTGGGAGGGTAGGAAGGCCTTGCTACTGTTTCTCACCGACACTGTGGGAGTGGCCTTGTTTCCGCCTCAATGACAATCCTGAATCTGCACTAAGCCTCTCCTGACACCACCCAGGCAGGAAGCCAGAGGGACGCCTCTTTATTGCTGGTGCAAGTCCAGGACACACGACCACTGACACATGGCAAAGGCAGCCTTGCTGCCTCCTGGAGGAGTAATAAAAACTCCAGCTCCCCACTTGGCTTTCTTGGACACCACCTGGGCCAGGGGGCGGGGAGGTGCGCCTCATGACTGCCAGGTGGGGATACAAGTCTAGGCTCCCACTTGGCCTCTGCTGACAGGGTGAGGTGGCAGTCGGGCCGGTTTATTTACCTCATCCAGTTTGGCTGGACTAAGGTGTTTATTATCAAAGAGTTTCTGTCTTGTTCGGTGGTCCCTTTCCTCATCACTTTTTTCTTGGTTTGCACCTGTGGTTTCTCCAGCACAAGGTCCATGACAGATGAGGCAAAAAGAAAACCCAGATCTGCCTAGCACATCTGTCTTCTCTCTACCTTTCAGACTCTTAGGTTTGTTTAATACAGCGGTTCTCAACCTGTGGGGTCGCGACCCCTTTGGCGGTCGAACGACCCTTTCACAGGGGTCGCCTAAGACCATCCTGCATATCAGATATTTACATTACGATTCATAACAGTAGCAACATTACAGTTATGAAGTAGCAATGAAAATAATTTTATGGTTGGGTCACAACATGAGGAACTGTATTTAAAGGGCCAGAAGGTTGAGAACTACTGGTTTAATACAAATGCTCAGGGCTGCTAGCTGTACTTAGCAGGAGTAGAAAACAGTACCAGTTCACCTCTTTTTATTGCTAATACAGTCCATTGTTTGGATGTGCCACAGGTTGTGCATCCATTTACCAACTGAAGGACAACATTTAGGCAGTTTCCAGTTTGAGGCAATTATGAATAAAGCTGCTCTTAGGAGTCACATGCAAGTCTTTTCTGTGAAAACCTCCGTTTTCTTTTTCTTGGTTTATACACCTAGGAGTGGGACCAGTAGATCACATGATTCAGTTTACTTTAAGAAAATATTAAACCCTTTTCCAAAGGTGCTGTGCCATTTTACATTTCCACTAACAATGTATGTGAGTCCCAGTCGCTCTGATCCTTGCCAGCCTCTGGTATTGTCAATTTTATTTCTTTAGCAAACCATTCTCAAAGGTGTGTAATGGTATGTCATTGTGGTTTTAATTTGCATTTCCCTAATGATGAGTGATGTTGGGCATATTTTAATGTGCTTATTTGTCACCCATATATTTATTTGGTGAAGTATCCATTCAAATCCTTTGCCCATTTTTTGAGTTATTTTCTTAACTCAGTTTTGAGAGTTCTTCACACATTCTGCTTAGAAGTCCTTTGTCATATACATTTTGTCACTCAACTTCTACTAAACAATAACTGGCCCAAGTTTATGACTTTTTTTTTTCTTTTTCTTTTTTTAAATATATTTTATTAATTTTTTACAGAGAGGAAGGGAGAGAGATAGAGAGTTAGAAACATCAATCAGCTGCCTCCTGCACACCTCCCACTGGGGATGTGCCCGCAACCAAGGTACATCCCCTTGATCAGAATCAAACCTGGGACCTTTCAGAGTCCTTTGTATATACATTTTGTCACTCAACTTCTACTAAACAATAACTGGCCCAAGTTTATGACTTATTAAACCCAGGCCTGATATGTAACTCTAGACTTCCTGTTGCTAGTTAGACTACACTTAGGTGGTTTTAGTTGTCCAGGGGGTAAGATGTATTTATTTTCTACAAGCAATATTCATTACTTCTGAAGAACCTGCATGGAACGTATTAATTACTGTGATGTTGCAGGGTATCATTTATAATTTTAAAGAAAAGTACTCTTTGAGTGCTCTAGTCTGCCTGCTCCTTAATCCAGAGAAATTTAGATTACAAATTCATTCAAAATTTCAATACAATTAAAGAGAGAAGAAACAGCCTGTAAAGCCAAAATCACACAGAGCCTGTGTGTCCAACAGTGTGCAGGTAACGACAGTGATGTACAGTCGGAGGTGTACCTGGATCACGGCCAAGTGCTCCTGAACTTGTGGTTGGTGTTTCACGTGGGTGTGGAAGCTGTCCTGGTGGATTCTGCTGCTGCTGCTGCTGCTGCTGCTGTTGATGTTGCTGTTGCTGCTGTTGCTGCCTGAAACATGCAAAGGACAATGTACATTAAACAAACAAACCCTCAGAATAAATACGCCATGAGAAGTGCTATTCACATGGAAAATAAATGGTTCCACAAAACAAAAGTCACTGACATGAACACCACAAAAGGATGCAAGAGCAATCAGTCTGATATATATATTAGTTAAAAATATCACAGTGCGATCATACAAAATCTGGATGTAAAATTTGCATTTATCAGAGAAATTAATAGGCAGGTATTTTTAACCACAAAATAACACATTGTACAAAAGGATTCACTGGCAGCTATTTTTATGCAAATGTGTTGGTTTACAGATCCTTAATATTGTGGGAGGTCACTGAAAATAAGCACTTCAAGGAAAGTAAAGCATCTCAAATTACCATAAGCGTTAACATGATCTTTCCATGGCTGGTTCCTTCCTGTCATTCAGATCTGAGCTTAATATCTCCTCAGAGATACCTTTCCTGCCCACAGTCCTCAGTGGCCACCTGGCATTCCCCCTAGCCCATCACTTCATTTTAATTTCCAGCATAAACTTATCACCATGTGTTCTGTCTTCCTCTTTAGAATGTAAGCTAACAAGAGTACACCCCTTATCTTGTTTGTTGCCCAGTGCATAAAACTATGCCAGGCATTAGTAGACACTCATCAAATACTTGATGAACTCTTTAATATACATTACCAAGTTTCAGTAATATGTATTGCATTAAAATAAGTTCTCCCTGTATTTTTTTAAGCAGGAGAAACAATGTCATAAAACATTAAAACATGATGGTTATGACGTAATAGGTAGGTGCTTGTACTTAGAAAATATACACTGAAGTGCTGACATGTAATGAGAAATCATGTCTGCAAGTTATTCTCAAATGGTTCAGAAATGTCAACTGGGGAATCTGAGTGATGGGTATATGGAGCTCTGTGAACTATTTCTGCATTTATGTATATTTTAAATGATTTCATGTATACATATATATGCTAAAATTAAAAAAATTAAAAACAGCAACAATCTGAGAAGCCATAGCTTTCAAAAAAATGCATAAAAGGATTTTTAAAGGAAACAATTTTAAAATTAGAGGTAACACTATTAATAGCACATTTTTTCCTAGGGTCCCCCTTAATCTTGTGTTTTAAACATGAGCAACAAAGAAAATTCAACCAGTGGGGAATCTCATTTCTCCTTGTTGGTCTTGGAGCGAGCACACTGACATCTGCATGTTTATGACTTTGGTGTGCAGGCTAATGAGCACACGTGGGCAGTGTACTCCCACTAGCACACTCTGACTCCGGAACGTGGCCCGAGAAGGACAGGTTGTGAGTTATGTGGATTTCCTAGCACATCAGATCTCTCCCCACGCCCTCTTCCTCCTCCACTCAGGAAAACACATCAGAATGCAAGGGAGTGACAGGTGAGACAGCGACTTTAGAGCAGTAACTTTTATTCTACTTTAAATTCATGAAAAGTGAGTAAATGAACTGCCAACCTTGAATCACTTCTAACACCTTTCATATGTGATGACACCTTAAGATAGAATGTGCACAAATAGCACTCAGCATCCATTCCCACTGTGCCTTCTGTATCACAGAGTCGAGAAAGCTAAAAACGACATGTCTTACATTGCTTTAGACCTCAGATTCTGGAAAAAGAGTGCTTTTAAAGCATTTGTATGAGCTTTAAAGGGCAGAAATGAGGCACAGCCATCTCCCTGCTGCTTTCGCTGTTCTCTGCACCAAGTCAAGTCATGGGGATGCCAATCCCAGAATTCTGCTTTACGGCAGTTGCAGTGGAGCCAGATTTCATGTTCCTGAGTCTTCATGTCTAGGCAACTGTGGTGGCAGTTTCCTGACCTTAGGATCACAGCTCAGGAAGTGTGTTCCTAAACTCGATATCCCAATTCCCCATTATCTCAACTTGGGCAGCGGTCAAAGCTCTTCAGACAAGTTAGAATTCTGGAGGCCTGGCCTACAGCCTGCATTCAGCTCTTCCTAAGATTGTGTAAGGCCTTACCTTCTGTATTAAGTACTTTCTGCTAAAAAAAACTCTAGTCGTTTATGTTTCTTAAACTGAACCCTGACCAAGCCATGCCACTGAAGTGGTGGCTCAAGTATTAGGGAATCAAAAAATGAAAGCAATCCATGACCATGAAAATAGTACTTGTTGGGAAACACTTTTTAAATTAAGAATCTGCATCATTTTAGAGAAAACCTGTGAGAAGACGTTAATCAGGCTAATGCCTATCTGTGGAGCACTTTACAGTTTATGAAATAGTTTTACATATCTTGCCTAATTTTATGCTCATAACATGTGAGTGAAGGCAGGTTTTGTAAATGACATAGCTGATATAATAGTTTTGCCTGGAGTTTTATGATAGGTAAAATGGTTTAGAGATTATTCACGGGGAAAAAATACGGCTATGAAAAAATTTAACAACTCTTATTCATAACATATTAGCTTGTAAAGGTAGATTTTTAACAGTATTTTTATGCTACATGCATGAATACATTAAGTATGAAGCTTCAAATGTCCTACAAAAACAAAAACTCCCACCAAACCTATAAATTTTAATAAATAACAAGTTAGCACCATGGTCAGTTTGAAGAGGGTCAGAAGGAAGAAAGAGTTAACTCGAGAAGCTTACAGCCACATTTCCAAAGATGGAAGCTAGAGAGACAGGGGCCCATCTAGGCTTAATAATCAGAAATTCTAGTGAAAAGCAAATATTAGTTTTCAGCCCCTTTATTAATGAGCCCTACATGATTTTGAATGCTAGTCACTGTTAAAAAGAAATACCAAGAAGTTAGCTCTTAACTCCGCTCAGCAACATTTGACTCTAAATCTTCTCTAGTTCTCCACTAGTATTTTTTTAAAAATGTTTTTATTGAGCCTGGCCGGCATAGCTGTGGTTGAGCATTGACCTAGGAACCAGGAGGTCACGGTTCGATTCCCAGTCAGGGCACATGCTCGGGTTGGGCTTGGTCCCCAGTGTGGGGCCTGCAGAAGGCAGCCAATCAATGATTTTTCTCTCATCATTGATGTTCCCTCCCCCCCTCTCTCTCACTCTTCCTCTCTCTCTCTCCCTCCCTTCCACTCTGACATCAATAAAAACATTTTAAAAATGTTTTTAAAAGAGAAAGAGGAAGGGTGAGGGAGAGAAAGACAGAAAAATCGATGAGAGAAATATCAATCAGCTGCCTCCTGAGAGCCCCCTACTTTTGGGGATCAAGCCCCAAACCCAGGCATCTAACAGGAAGCTAACCAGTGATCTCTCAGTGCACTGGACGATGCTCAACCAACTGAGCTACATCAGCCAGAGCCCCACCAGTATTTCTGAGATCAAACCAGGAGGCAGAGGATGAAAAACTGAAGCTGAAAACCTTCCCTGCACATCTTCCTCCCCATCAACTACTCTCCAACCAGGAGGGAACTATCCCGATGCTCAGCCATCATAACAGGGCACAGGGTTGATAAAACATCTGCATCAGTTATCACTGGCATTGTGCTTGTTAGAATTTACTTAGTCATTATGAAATGTCACTGCATTATTCTTTCCACTCTAAAAAGTTCAATGCATTGAAAATTCTATATTTCTAATCCAAAATATCTTTTAAAATTTTTAAATAAGAGAGGGATTTGTTTTTTATACTTTAAAAGACGGTTTCCTTTTCTTGGATGTATTTGTAAACTTTGTAGATTCTCTATTAAGTATGTCTGGACAATTTTATTCTGGCAAAAAAACAACAACAAAAAAACAAAGTCTGAAAAAACATGGTAGAAGAATCACTTGGAAATTATTTGGAAAGCAGTTTAGAAATCTGTACGAAGGCCTTAAAAATGTTCATGTTCTTTAACTAAAAAATCTGACATCCTCAGAATAATTAGAAGAAACAATGATAGATTTGAGGCGCTGAGTCAGTACGTGGATAGTTCGTTGCACTATTAATTATAATAGTAAAAATCAAAATGTTCATATGTCAATTATGATACATACATTAATTTTATAAAGTACCATATAGCCTATTTACAAAGAATACTTACTATTAGGGGAAAATGGGTATAAGTAATATGTATGTGTGTCTGTGTGACCAGAAGAAAATGTGCCAAATACTAACATCAGTATTATATAAGGAAAGTAGAATTATGTTTTCTTTTAATTCTGATATGTCTTAAAATAAAATTTCTAGGGTATTAGTTTTTATCTAATTAAGTAGTTTTAAGTTATTTTTAATACTAACTAGATATTTTATGATATTATAAAATATTATTGTGTGACAATAGCATTTGGCTATGTAAAAAAATAAGCTCATATATTTAGAGAGGCGTACTGAAATAAATATGGATAAATGATATAATGATTTAGATTTGTTACAAAAAAAATCCCAGCTTGGGGGTAGAAGAGTGACGGGCATAGGAGATGGGGACATAGAAACACAAGGCTGGTCATGTGCTAATCTTTGTTAAATCTGGGCAATAGGGGTTCATTATGCTGGTTTCTCTACTTTTATATGAATTTTAAGTTTATCATATTTAAAAAATAAAAGTTAAATTTAAAAGGAAGAAGTACTAATAAGCACTATTTTGAAATTTTACATATAATTAAATCCATTACTCTATCACTGAATAAAGACTAGAAATATCTCACATTAAGAGGATGTCAGTTGATCAGAACTTTCCTTCATATACTTCTGAGCTGTGACTTAAAAACAAACAAACACAGAAAACAAAGTAAATATTATCTCCATTACACCATCAAATTTTAGCTCCAATATCTTAGGTACCACTAAAATGCTGCCAAATATGACTGTGAGATGCTTCTCAGGTGCAGAGGTGTGGAGATGTGAGAATATGTGCATCTTAGAACTGATGAAGTACAGTAATTAACAGGCCAAGTTCAGCCACTGGCCTTTTGGTTTCTGATCTGGGATCAGAGGATCTGAATATCTATTATAGATCTCGTAATTTCCAAGATGGATTTTTATCATTAAGATAAAGGGAAGACCTGTGAGTGGAAAGAGTGGTATTTTTCTGGGATAAAATTTTTATTTTAAGGGCACTTTTTATAAAGCGGATACAAAGTTAGGTTTCAGGAGCTGATGATTCAGATTTATGGTCTGCCCTCCCATCCCGGATGCTGACAGTCCTGCAGTACCGCACTAGAGCGCAATGAGCAGAGCTCTTAGCCACCACCTCTATTTGTGGTAGGAGTGGGCTCCCCGACCTCAAGTGCTTGTTCCCTATGAACAGACAGAAGAACATTGCAGGATTAGGAGCCGAGGAGCACAGTCAAAGGATCATGAAGCATGGTTCTTGCCTTGATTCAATTTCATTTTCCCTTTGATGATTGAAATTTCACAGGGTTTCCTTCACCCAATTTCATGTAAATTTAACTAGTATTGGGGCAAAGTTTCCCCCTAAAACAACATTCCATTTCACAGTTTATTTGTTGTAAATTAAAATAAGTACATTCAAATGTTCACAGGGTCAGGGAGTAACCAGTCTTTTTTAAAAAAGAGAATCCTAAATAAAATAAATAGTTTAAGCCAAAGCTTTAAGTTCACAAATAGAAAAAATAGCCAAAGTAAAGACTGAATATGCCATTTGAATATTGTACCAACTACTTTACTTTTCAAAGTAGGCTTCTCTTCTCTTCCGTAGCTCTTCTGAAGTCAGCTGTGTACCTGATGTCTGTGGAACATCTTGAGGTGCATTTCTGGAACTACCTGAAAAACGAAAATAGGACCAAAACAAACAGTTTATTTACCAGGTAAAGTAACAAGATGTTTATACTTATGTGAATTACACACAAAAGCTTTTTTTTAAAATTTAAATTCTTTATTGTTTAAACTATTAATATGTTTCCCTTTTCTCCCCAATTCTCGCCCCAGCCACTCCCACCTCCTCACACAAAAGCTTTTAAAATGTTTTCTTCTTAAACGGATTCTGCTACTATTCTGTAAATACTAGATGCTCTAGGCCTGGCCTGCGATCAGGGCTGATCGGGGCCTTCTGGCTGCCAGCTGGGGCCTCCCTTTCCCTTCCCCGGCTGCCAACTGCTGGCCAGGGCCTCCCTTCGTTCCGCGCCGCCCCCTGGTGGTCAGCACCCATCATAGCGAGCAATCGAACTCCCGGTCTCCGGGTCAAACTCCCAAGGGGACACTTTGCATATTAGCTTTTTAATAGATAGATAAGAAAGGGTCTGAAAGCCTCAGGGGAAATCTGAATAATGCAGTTCAAACCTAGCCAGTATCCACTACAGCCAAAGCTGTCACCCAACTGTGGTAGCAAATGTGAGGATTTAAGACCAACAACCAACTAGGGAGGAAGAGCCATTAACACCACTCTCGCGTGCTCTCTTTAACTTATTAGACATCAAGCTATATTTCCAAAGACATAGACTTCCTTAGAACCAACACATTGTATGCGGGAAACGTATTTATATGTTTTACGTTGACTGGTAGTAAGTAGAGCGCAGGACACGTATTAATACGTTTTTTTATAGACTAGCAGTAGAATGCGGGTAACGTATAAATACGTAAACTAAAGTTATCGTAATTTTACTGAACATTGCCATTTGCGCAAAAAATTAGCAAAAATGGCCCGCGCCACGCGCCACCTGTTAGCACGCGATAAAAACTACCCGCAAACAATGTTAAACTGGATGATCATGAAACAAACACATTCTCTGTGTTCCTTTATCTTCAAAAATTTGGGTCCTACAACAACTTCAGTATATTTCCATGGTCTCATTTATTGCACCAACCAGAGATTTCGCACAAATGGTGAAATAAAGTGGTAAGTAGAGTGAATTACACACAAATAACTAAAATTGCAAAAGCTAGTGTCTGCCATTACCTCAATTTTATTTAGATATTAGAGGCCCAACACGCAAAATCGCACATGACCCAGACCCGCCGCACTGGCGGGACCTCAGACCTGCCGTGCGCGAGTAGCTCGCCACCAGGAGCCACAGCACCGCTGCAAGCGGCTCACAGGCTGGAGGAAGGGACGGAGAGGTGCTCCATGCACCTCCTGGTGACTGGTCGTTTGGTCGTTCCAGCGTTCTGGCCACTGGCCTTTTATCATATAGATTTCAGGAATTCAATCAATAATTTCATTAGAAAGTAGAAGGCAAAATCATATTAATTAGATGAAAACAAAACTGCCAAAAGAAATTCCTCATGCTTTTATGTAAGCCAATGTAAGCCACTTAGAGCTACAAAACAGACATTTCCTTCCACCTGGATTCCCTAGGGAATATGTCTTACCTCTCCTCTGCTTATGGGCTTACATCACTATAAAAGCGTCAAAGTGGACTCAAGCTATACGTTGCACAGACACCAATGTTAGAGTTTTCTAAAATCAATTTATATTCTCTGTCCAGGCCTTCCTTTGTGTCCAACAGCAAATTCATTTATGAAACAGTTGGTCTGGTAACAGTTCCCCCACTTTTGCCCACAAAGATTGACCTCAGTTTATTGCTGTGTTAGTATAGTATTATAACCAAATGGAATAACCAGAAATAAAAATACAGCTAGTTATCTTGGCCAGTGTGGCTTCGTTGGTGGAAGCATTGCCCTGTCTACCAAAAGGTTGTGGGTTCGATTCCCGGGTGAAGCATGTGCCTTGGTTGCGGGTTCAGTTCCTTGGCCCTGGTAGAGGTGTGTGCAGGAGGATGCAGCATATTGATTTTCTATCTCACATCAATGCTTCTCTCTCTCTCCCCCTCTGACCTGCCCCTCTCTCCCTCCTTTTCCCTCTCTCTAAAAATCAATGAAGCCTGGCTAGTGTGGCTGAGTGGTTTAGTGTCGACCCATGAACCACGGTGACGGTTCAATTCCAGGTCAGGGCACATGCCCAGGTTGAGGACTTGATCCCTAGTAAGGGGCATGCAAGAGACAGCCAATCAATGATTCTCTCTCATAATTGATGTTTCGCTCTTCCTTCCTCTCTCTGAAATCAATAAAAACATATTTTTTTAAATATCAATGAAAATGACCTCGGGTGATAAGAAATATATATTTAGTCCTAATATAACATAGGTTGTAAAAGGTATTTATATTACAAGAAAACTAAAGAACAGCTGACTGCACATAGCTACTGATTCTGCAGTAACTGTCAAAGAACATCTAACAGTTCATTAACTTCCAGGAAACCAAGAATTATCTGAATCTATTCTTCAACAATGAAAAACCCCGCCAGAATGTCTGTACCTTGCATACTGAGCTGAATAGCCCTGCGGAGATCTGCTTCCTCATCTTCCATGTCAATCTGTTGGCGACTTAGGGCCAGAGCCCGCTGCAAATCCTCCTCCTCTTCATCTAACACTCCTGATCCCTCATTTGCTTCTAAGGTTTGTTCCAGATCCGTTTTCTGGACGCTAAAGAATGAAAGCACTGATAATAACTACAGACAGGTCTTGCATTTTAGATATAAAAATATTTATAAACTGAAGATTTTATATGTCAAAACTTACACATTTCAGTCAATTGTAATTGAAAAATAGAATTAAAGAAACGTACAGATTTTTCTCGCAGATAAGGTCTAATAATATAAACTTTGTGTTGCGATGTGGCTCTAAGTTAACATTTTTAAGTAATTCAAAGAGTTGATTCAGGTTTGAACCAATAAACTTCACTAAAACATTTGGGTCTAAAAAAAATTACCAACAATAAAAGGACCACCCATCCAATGTTAGCATGAAAATTTATTTCTTGTAATGAAAGAGTATCACACATTCCATACTGCAGAGCTAATTTACCTCTGTTCTTTCACTTGTGCTAATTCTTCTCCAATAAGTTTTGGTCGATGCATCTGTTGGACCCTGATCATCTGTAGGAGTTGGTCAGCTTCACAATCTGGCAGATCACCCTTAACAACAAATATAGAATAACCTAAAAAAAAGGCAAAAATAAACTAAAACAGCTAGTAAGAGATTCAAAATCAATGAAAAATGATAGCAGCTAGAGTGGCAGCATGGTATATAGTAGTGGAAAGAATATAAGTTGAGGAATCAGAAAAAGCTGAGTTCAGTAATGATTCTTGCACGGACTGGCAGGGTAAGCTAGGATAAATTACCTGTAAGTCTTTGAGTGTAACTTTCCTCACCTGTAAAATGGGAACAGCTATCTCCTGGAGTATCAGAAATAAAGGAAATAATATCTATAAAGGGTCCTCCTAAAAAGGTGCTTGACCCAGTAGGCTACTCACTACATGGTAGCAGAGAAGCAGTAAAGGTTTGGACAAGAGCAAGGAATGTGGAAGCAGTGGCCTGGTTTTAATGAGAGCTCTTCCATTTCCTAGCTGCATGGTCTCCGGTAAAGCACTTTGCCCACCTATGTCTTGGTTTCTTCAATTGTGAAACAGATGATACTGGTACTTCCTCTGAGGGCTACTATGAGGACACGATCAGATGACATATGTAATAATGTATAATAAATATAAAATAAGTTATCTGTGGAAAGAGCTGCCTCCTCACTCCGACCCCCCACCTTTCCTAACTGAAAACAAGGTCTGAGAAGCAATACCTAAAATCTATTTAAGGTATGAAAGGTGTGGCTTGTCTTTTGAAAGAATTACACTGATCCTATATAATCTTTTACAAATACGATTCTAGAAAGCCAGTTTTCCCAGCTAAATACTCCATATACTAGTAAAACCTGAATAAGGGTGGGCTATACCTAAGTCATTCTAATAGATTTATGTTTTTCTACCATAAAATTTTCTTAAACTTTGGTGCTTGTTACTGGATATCCTTTGTGAGCATTAATAGATACTGAAATAATACCAAAAAATAAAAACAGACAATGAAACAAATAAATAGGACCAAAAAGAGTATTAATGGAAAAACTCAAAACAATAATACGTCTAACCTTTTTTTAAAAAGTAGTTTTTATTGATTTCAGAGAGAGGAAGCAAGAGGGAGAGATATAGAAACATCAATGATGAGAGAGAATCATCGATCGGCTGTGTCCTGCATACCCCTACTGGGAGTTGAGGCCGCAACCCAGGCATATGCCCTGACCTGGAATCGAACCATGACTTCCTGGTTCATGGGTCGACACTCCACCACTGAGCAACAGTGGCTGGGCTAGCCATTTTGGTTTCACAAGGACAAGTGTGCTCAGAGTTCAGATGGTTTAACATGTTTTATGCCAATAAATTGTTTCCAGATCTTAGAAGAACTATGTCGGCTCACCATGGCCTTCCATGAAGAGCAGAAACCCTGCCTATTCAGGTGGTATACTGTAAGAATCCTAGATTTTATTCAAGACTAGATTTCATTCTATGTGTGCTGGGAAGCCACTCAAAGGTGAAGGGTGAGGTTGTACCATAATATGCCTTATGTTTTTTAAAAAATCACTCACGGCTGTTTTATCAATATATGGGAACCAGAGTGCAAGAAAGTGATCCTTACTGAAATGGAAAACCTGAGGGATAGCATGTACAGTGAGAAAAAATAATCAGTCTTTTTTCAACATTTTCAGTTTGAAATGCTTTCTGGAGTTCCAAGTGGAGATATCAAAGTTAAGAATTTGGTGTACAGGGTGGCTATCTAGGCAGCACATACAAGTTTGGGAAGAACTGGCATACAGATCTCATTTAGAGATGATATTTAAAATAATGGGACAGCACATAGTCAAGAAGTTGTCCTGCCGAACCAGTTTGGCTCAGTGGATAGAGTGTCGGCCTGCGGACTCAAGGGTCCCAGGTTCAATTCCGGTCAAGGGCATGTACCTTGGTTGCAGGCACATCCCCAGTAGGGGGTGTGCAGGAGGCAGCTGATCGATCTCTCTCATCGATGTTTCTAACTCTCTATCCCTCTCCCTTCTTCTCTGTAAAAAATCAATACAATATTAAAAAAAAAAAAAGAAGTTGTCCAGGGATTGAACACTCAATGGTTAGAAATTGGAGAGAGCAATCCACAAAAAGAATCTGAAGGAAGCAGCCAATGAAAGACGAGGAAAATCAGAGCACTGTGGCCTGGAAGCCACGTGTAGACAGCATTTCAAGAAGGGAAGAATAGTTAAGAACTAAGGTTTTAAAAGAAAAGAGATACAAGCATATAAAACCAAAGAAGTTATATGTGAACTGGAAAGCTCTAGATGAGGACCAACCCAGCAGCAAGAAGCATGCCAGTTCCCAGACTATGATCTGTAAACACTTTTACTAAAAGGGCAGGAAATATAAAAGATAAGCCTGAAAATTCTGTTAATATGAGAAAGGATTCAAAAGGCTATTGGGGTCATTTCAGAAATTTGGGAGTCAAGTTCAAAAGGTTCCCAGTGGTCCAAGATGGGACAATCTGAATATCAATATGAATATTATAATGAACTGAAACATATAAACTATGTTTTAATGGATTAATTTACAATGACTCTTTAGAAAAAAAACAACCATTTAATTGGTTACCTTTGGAGGAAAGATACTATGAAATGAACTTATTTGAAAACCTGATAAAAGAAATATTTATCCTGCTTTTGCTATGTGACTATACTTGAGGATAACCAAATACTTGATGAGGGAAAGTTTATTTGTATAGAAGTCTTTCAGCTAATATAATAAATGCAGGAAGGGACAGGGGAGTGGTTAGAGGTTTGAAGAGAGAAGCTGTGAAATAACCATCATGGAGAGTAAGTGAACTTACAAGAAAACAGTAAGAATGGCAAGTAGCACGAAAGGCTCATTTGAAATTTGTGACCATAGATTTAAAGCCAAATCAACCATCACATTTTATGTTATTCTTTTTTTTTAATTGATTTCAGAGAGGAAGGGAGAGGGAGGGAGGGAGAAACATCATCGATGAGAGAGAATCATGGATCGGCTGCCTCCTGCACGCCTCCCAGTGGGGATAGAGCCTGCGACCCAGGCATGTGCCCTTGACTGGAATCGAACCCGGGACCCTTCGGTCCGCAGGCTGACACTCTATCCACTGTGCCAAACTGGCCAGGGCTGATGTTTTCTTTAGCCATGTTCAGCTGCTCTGGTGCAGGAATGGACAAGATCAAAGTTTTGGTTTTAACCAGGTTTGGAATTTTGTTATGAAAGTACTAGAGACCCGGTGCACAAAAATTTGTGCACTTGGGGCGAGGGGGGTGTCCCTCAGCCCGGCCTGTGCCCTCTCGCAGTCTGGGACCCCTCAGGGGATGTCCACCTGCTGGTTTAGGCCCGCTCCCCGGGGGATTGGGCCTAAACTGGCAGTCAGACATCCCTCTGGCAGCCCGGGAGCCCTCGGGGGATGTCCACTTGCCAGCGGGGAGCAGGCCTAAGCTGCAGTCTGACATCCTTAGCGCTGCTGAGGAGGTGGGAGAGGCTCCCACCACCACCGCTGTGCTGGCAGCCATCAGCCTGGCTTGTAGCTGAGCAGAGCTCCTCCTGTGGGAGCAGCGCAGTGACCAGGGGGCAGCTCCTGCATTGAGCAACTGCCCCGTGGTGGTCAGTGTGTGTCATAGTGACCAGTCATTCCCAGTCGTTCTGCTGTTAGGGTCAATTTGCATATTACCCTTTTATTACATAGGATGATGGAGGGAAAGGAGAAAGGAGTTGAGGACTGTAGTGATTATAATGATGGATTATAGAAAATAAGCAGACTAAGATAAGAAGTAAGAATATAAGAGGATGTTTGGACCTTGTGGTAGGGTTTAAAGAATTGTTGCAATGGACAAAACAGAGAAAATATGATGCAGAGATAGGAGGCAATAGTAAAAAAATAGGATGCTTGCAATTAGGGTTTAAAGGTGGTACAGTTATTGGTAACAGCAAGGCAAGAGTGGAAAAAAGAGATATTTGGAAGTAAGAAGCAAGGTATTGAATTGATTTTTGATATAGAGATCACTAAGAATGGTGAAAGGAGTTCAAGCAGAAAGAAGACAGTGAGTCAGACCCTAAAATCTTCAATGGAAAAGAGGCGGATCACAGATGACTACAAAAAACCAGGGGGTCAAGTTTAATCTAGTGAGACGTATTTCAAAGGAGCTGGAAATTTTAGGGAAGAACAGTGGCCCAGAAGGGGCGAGGAGGAGAAAGAGAATTACTTGGGCCTCCCCTTGGCTCTGTGGTATTGAAGTACCGGAGAAAAAAGAGCTATTACTTAGCTGCAAAGGAAGCAGCATCCTCAGGGGAGGGCCAGGTGTCAGTGAGAACTCTCCCTGAACAGTATCAGTCAGACCACAACCTCAAGTTCACCATGTAAAACAAAGATTACCTCACTGCCACTGCCATAAAAATAGTTTTGGTACATTCATATCTAATGAGTTAGTTTTATTTAGCTTCTTTGAAAGTTAACATTATAAAATTTCCATTTTTATTTACCTTCCTGTTGCAATTGAGCCAAAAAAAGTGCAAGGTATGTGTCTGATATTAATTCTGGACCCGTCAAGAGAGAATTCAAGTTGAACCACTGGAAAAAAAAATGCCATCATTTAAATTAATATACATTATAATTAAGAAGGAAATTTCACGTTACGAATAGATATAACCCAGCTAAGCTTAGTATGACTGTCTAAACAGTGAAAACAAGTCAAACTGAGATTTTAAAAAAAAAATTATGAAGAGAGAGAGAGAGGTAAAGAGGAAGAGGGAGAGGGAGAAGGAGAGAGATAAAGAGAGAGAGAAACATCAATCAGTTGCATCCTGTACCTGCCTTGTCCAGGGGTCAAACCCGCAACCTAGGTATGTGCCCTGACTGGAATCGAACTAGCAGCCTTTTGGTGCATAAGATGATGCTCCTACCAACTGAGCCACCGAGCCAGGGCTGCATTTGTCTTAAATAAATAATTTTTCTTGTGATACACCTAAACTGTACATGGTTGTAACAAATAAATCTATAATGGAAACGGACATTGTCTTTTAAAATAGCAAGTTTCTAACTATCAAGATTGAAACTATGCTACATATATGCACATGAATGGTGAGTTTCTTCATCAGATCCGGGGCCTCTGATACTCTGGACTGTTGAACATTTTAGTTGCAAATGGAGTGCAGGATGAGAAAAAAATACAAGGAAGCAGGAGAAACATTACCTGTTTTCCTAATTTTCTAACTGTAAACCAGTGTTCTTTATAATTGCATATAAATGATCTTTCATTTCTAGAAAAGAAAAAAAATAAAGACCCAATATTAAGTTGAAGTATTAGAGTTCATAGTCATTTAGTTTGTCTACTGGCAAGTGTTATATAAAACTTATGATAATTTACTAGTAAGATTATGTTTACAGTTTAGTATCACTAATTTTTTTTTAAATTACAAGCAGAATGAATCTCTCTACACATTTGGGATGCTGTCCAAAATGAAGGCATCACACATCACTAAAGGATCAGCTGTGTGCCACCACACACCGAGCTGCCAGGCAGGCTGAGAGGGCACATGTTCATGGACATCTCCAAAAGGAGAAGTAGGGAATGAAGGCACATCAAAACAAAAACATTCAAAATATATTTTTCTTAAGAAATTATAACTTTAATAATCAAATTTAGAAAAAGAAACGTAGGAAAAGCAAAATAAATCTTACATGGGATCGATCCTGAGCCTCTGATACTCTGGACTGTTGAACAGGATTAGTTCTAAACCCCAAACTTTCAAGGCATTGCTTATAACCTGTTAAAAAAACAGCAAATTCTGATGAGCTAAACCATTCAATTCCAAATGTAATTAGGGAAAGTCATATTAATTGTGCAAATAATTGTACTTCATATATCAATTTCCCTGGAAGGCTATGGTTTTTTCAAAGTGTGTGTGTATAAGATATTTCACTAAATCTATAAATAACATACAAACATAGCATTTAAAAAGTCTTTTTAACTCTAGGTTTCTGGGATATTCTAGGGAACCACACAATTCCTAGATAAAACTGCCTCAAAAATCGAGATGTATATTCTTAAAACTAGTCCTCTATATACATATGATAAATTGGACGCTATGGTCCTGCTGCAGAAAAGTTATATTTCAACTCACTACCTGGTATGTCAGGAATAGTGATAATTATATGTCTATTAAGATGAGTTCTTTCTAGAGATTTAAACTGAAGTGTTCATAGATTTTAATCTTCTGTTATCATAGGTCTATAATTTTAGGAAAAACAAAAGATAAATCTGGTTATTTCAAACTGTCTAGAAAGAAATAGGAGGTTTCTGAAAATTCACTACTAATCCTTCTAGGTAGCTGAGAAGAGGCAAGTGAACTTGGTACTAGCAAACAGAAAGTGAATGCAATGTAGGGGCACATGTGGATCAGCACCAAGGGCAGCGCCACATACCACAAAGGACAAGTGCTGGGCCCCTCAGCCTTCCATCCCAGCCCTGTAGTAGGAAGGGCTAGGGAAGCACTGAATGGAAATGCTGGTGAATGAGGAGTCCAGGACAGTGCAAGGAAAATGCAAACAAAATTATCTTCAGAAGTAGATCCCTCAAGAGAGGTTCCGAAAGAACTCTGGATGCACCTTCAAGGTGTTAGAAACACAATGAAAGACCCACAGATAAAAGAATCTCACAAGCAATATAGCTTCCTTTGAAGTCTATGGGTGAATATACGTTTAAGAAAAAGAAAAAGCCTCGGGCCATAATAAAATAACCCAGTCTCAGTAGGCTGATTAAAAGGGAGACAGTGAGGTGTTGCATTTTCACAAATTTACACAAGAGATAGTAAGTTTAAAAGACTGTGACTTATTGGAATTAAGGTTATTAGTATCCAGATGCAAATTAAATAATCTTTCAAAAAAGCCCTATTCTAAAATGAAGTTTCTACAATCCTAATTTTTATATTTACCTATATAAAAGTCTAATACTCTAAGAGTACAATCTTATACTTTTAGACACAACCCATTGAAGGAACTTCTAAAGATCATATCATTAGCATGACTATGAAACGCTGTGAGAAGATACTTCTATCAACCATACCCTGAGCTTAAATACAGCCAGGGACAAAAACAACACTTAGTACTTGTTGTGACTACTTACTTGAATAGAGAAAAAACCACTATCATCCATATTCCCAGAAGGCTGCTGTTTAATTTGGAAAGGTAGTTGAGGCGGGGGTTGAGGGTGGAGAAAGAAGGAAAAACTGTCATTAATAGGCATATTTAAAATCACATTTTGTGCATTCTCATTTACAAAGTCAAGAGCAGAGTTATAATTAACAAGTCAGATCCCGATAGGGAGAATAGTTTGTTCTTTTCTAAACAATACCCACATATTTTCCTTTTCTTTTTAATACCCATGTGTGTGTTTTGTTTTTTTCCCAATCCCTCTATGCCCTCAAACACCCTCTCCCCCTCATCAGAGCTGTCTGCCTGCTCTCTATGAGTCTTAATACCCACATTTTTAAAAAAACGCAAATTGGTGAGTTTAAAATCAGTACCTCTAAAAACGTGCGATAGTCTTCACTAGTCACTCCGCCTTCTGCCATCCTCATCCTCTCTTCTTCATCTAGTTGATGTGCAATAGAGGATAATTCCACAGGGCTAAAATATTCTCCTTGCAATAGATTATTCAAGCAATGCTGAGCACAAAGTGAGCCTTCTTGCTAATATCCAAAAGAAAAAATTCAAATGTGGCTTGATAAACAGATTTGTTCAGGGTCTTTCCTTAAAGAGGAATTTAATGACTAACTTCTTAACTGTCAAAACTGAACCTTTCTGGCTTTAGACCAGTGGTTCTCAACCTTCCTAATGCCGCAACCCTTTAATACAGTTCCTCATGTTGTGGTGACCCCCAATTTCATTGTTACAAGTTGAACATAATTAAAGCATAGTGATTAATCACAAAAACAATATGTAATTATATATGTGTTTTCCAATGGTCTTAGGCGACCCCTGTGAAAGGGTCGTTCGACCCCCAAAGGGAGTTGAGAACCACTGCTTTAGACAAACAACACTAACAAAAGGTAAATGCATTTTCATTTAACATTTGTTTTACAATCCTGCCATTAATGGAACCATAATAATTTAGCTCTATAATGGAAAACTTAATGATTTATATTAACACATTTCGTACCGCTCAGGAGTTTTCTCGTGTTTTGCGCGCCATCTGTTAAGGACCGCTCACGAGTGTTCTCGTTTTTCACGCCCATGGAAAAAGGAGCGAATCTAGATACTTATGTAAATTTTGTTTGGTCCCTCTTCATAGAGGAAAATGTTTTACGCAGTACCATACGTTAAAAAATTCCTAGGAACTTTAATTGTTTAATTGTTTTGTAAATAAAAATGTTATAATTATTGAAAAACAACACCTAAAGTGCATTATGATGATTTAAATAACGTGCAGTTTGCCCAAAAACGTGCGGTCCCTGGCGTATGTCTTAGAGATTTCTATGAGGTACGCAATGTGTTAAACAAACATCTATGAAATACACCAAATCTCATATTTTACTAAAAATTACTCTATAAGCACTTAGCCTCCCTCATTTTCAGTGCCTAAAATAAATCCACTCAAGATTCCAGAGCAAATTACTAATGCTGAAAGGGAATTTTAGTCCCTAGAACATTTGTTCTTTTAACAGGATAATGTCTACTTGATTTAAATGCTTGTTCATGTAACTTCATATCTCAAGAGCTGATACAGGTAAGAACAATCTGTTTGAGTTAATGAGACCTCATGGCTGCAGAGTTGAGGTTCCCTTTGGGAACTCTGAAGGTAATATACACACAGGGTGTTGCCGTGAGCAAGACTGTCCAAAAGGCATTCCTGGAGCTCACTCTGGACAAGCCAACATGGGGGGCTGCATCCAAGCTCGGCTTCCCATGGCATCATTGACTTCCTGTTATGGGCGCAGGGGATTACAACTTCCCATGGGCCTTCAGGTGCTGGGCAGATGGCTTTTTTACATGTATGACAACCCAAGTATGTATCCAGACTGCCTGGCACTGAGAAGACTCATCAGCCCTCTCCCTGAAACAATGTTGCTTTTCCAAGCTTGCCTTTTAAGAAGACACATTCAAGCCCTGCCTGCATAGCTAGGTGGTCGAGTGTCCACCTATGAACCAGGAGGTCACCGTTCGATTCCCAGTTAGGGCATATGTCTGGATTGTGGACTCAATCCCCAAGGCCGCCGGTCAATGATTCTCTCTCATCTCTGATGTTTCTCTCTCTCTCCCCCTTCCTCTCTGAAATCAATAAAAATCTATTTAAAAAAAAGAAGAAGAAGAAGAAGAGACATTCAAGAATAAATGAGATCCCTCCTATGAATCAAGACCAGGGGTTTGCCTCTATGGGATGATGGCAGCAAGGAAAACACATGTTTCTCCTGCTAACTCTGGCCTTCTAAGTTCTCCTTTCCCCAGTAAAGTCTATTCTGTAAGCCAGTCTGTCTGTCTGAGCTATGTTACACAATAGATAGTGACCCCAAAGAACAACATCTTGCAAGATACATATTCTTCCTAATCAATTAATGTTCAAGGAACAAAATTCAGCTGCTGAAAAAGATATAAGGAGCCCTAGCCTGGTGGTTCACTTGGTTGGAGCAATGTCCCATTCATCAAAAGGTTGTGGGTTTGATTCCCGTTCAGGGCACATACCTACGTTGTGGGTTCAACCCCCAGTTGAGGGTGTGTACGGGAGGCAACGATTGATGTTTTTCACACTGATGTTTCTGTCTCTCTCCCTTCCTCTCTCTAAAAAAGAAATCAATAAACATCCTCAGGGTGAGGATTATAAAAAAGATATAAGGAATACATATGTAATGGAATAGGAAAGCAGCATTGAGACAGTTTGAGATAGGGGGCTGAGATAAATTTATCTTCATAACTTGGTATGGTAGTGAAAGAGGACTTGTGTCCACCTCCTTTTCCTTCTACTGTATTCCTACCACCAGAGAGTAACTCCCACTGAATACTATAATGGAAACCGAAGAATATACAGATATCTTAGTTATATTCTGCTGAAAAATTACAGGTCAAACAAGCATTCACAAGAGGTAAGCCAAATGACTAAAACACACAAAAAGGTGCTCAACTCCATTACCATTAGGGAAATACGGATATACTAAAACCACAATGCATTACTACTACATACTCTCCAAAATGGCTACAATGTTGGAAAGTATTAGAGACATCAAAACTATCATTTGCTACCAGTGAAAGTGTAAGTTAGTATAACCACTTTGGAAAACTATTTGTAATACCTACTAAAGCTTATCATACACATACCCTATGATCTAGCAATTCCACTACTAGGTATAGAATACAAAAAAAAAGAAATGTCGCCCGGCCTGTGTAGCTCAGTGGTTGAGCATCAACCTATGAACCAGGAAGTCACGGTTTGATTCCCAGTCGGGGCACATGCCTGGGGTTGTGGTCTTGATCCCCAGTGTGTGGCATGCAGGAGGCAGCTGACCAATGATTCTCTCTCATCATTGATGTTTCTATCTCTCTCTCTCTCTCCCTTCCTCTGTGAAATCAATAAAAAATATATTTAAAAAAACAGAAATGCAAAATTATGTTCATCAAAAAACATGTACAAGAACGTTCAAAAAAGCACTACTTATTCAAATTTTGGAAACTAGCAAATGCCCATCACAGTATAATGGATTCATTCATTGGTTTATATTCACAAAGGAATAGTACACAACAATGAGAATGAATCAACTACAACTACCTGCAACAATATGGATGAATCTCTCAAATGATGTTAAACAAAAGAAGACTCAAGAGTCTACACTATATGATTCCATTTACAAAAGTTCAAAAACAGGCAAAACTAGTCTACAATGTTAGACTAGTGCAGGGGGTGGAGGCAGGGGTGGGAAAGGCAGGGAAATACATGTTTGTTATTCAATCTCAGTATTATTCACACGTATGTTTACTTTGTGAGAATTCATTGAGCTGCACTCTTATGATGTGTGTGCCCCTACATGTATTATATTTAATTTAAAAATTCAAACAACAAAAAAGCCTCTGCTAAGATACAGCTATTGCACACAGCAAGAGTTACCTAACATGGTAACCAGACAATGAATTTTCTGGGATCAGTCCTAATGCAAATTTTCTCTCCTGCTGTCATGCCTCAGTTTGGGGCTCTTGAACTATGGTTACCATACTTAATACTATATATAGAAACAGTGACATCCAAATATTTGATATAAAAAATGAAAAATAAGCACTTGTCTAAGTAAAACTATATCGCTATAGGAAATAATATCGTTCTGTATTTTTACTATGATTTAATGAGAGAAAATAACACATTGTCCAGCCCAAATTTTAAAAGCACTTTTTTTAAAGTCACAAGATGAATCAAATGCTACAAGAACCAAAAAAATTGTACAGTGGTCCCTCTAAAGATTATGCACCCCCTCTCCAAAAACTATCCCCAGTCGCCTCCTCCTCCTCAAGCTTCAACCAAAGCTGAATAGTTCACTTTGCTATAGTTTAAGTTCAGAGGTACTGAAATTCCATGATTTCAGTCCTAACTTTGCTTTGGGATTAGAGGATAAGCAAACTGCATCTCCAGCTTTACAAAACCACGAAAGTATGAAATCCCCCACTGCCCTCAAAGTCTTCAGGACCAACCCGAAACCAGCTCAAATTCCCAGGGAAACTACTGACTTCAGGTGTGCTCCACCCAATCGACCAAGCAGCACTTCATCTCAACCAAGTTATAACAAGGTCCCCCGCCTCCTGAGGTTCACAAACACAAGCATCCCAATAACAACAAGGCCAGCACTTCTGCAACACAAAGTGCCAGGTAGCATGCTAAGCACTCATATCTCTGAGGCAGACACTTTACTATCCTCACACCAGAGGAGGAAACTGGATCCCAGAGATAATAAGTAACTTACCCAGATCCCACAGGTAGTCAATAAATGGCAAAGCTGGGCCCAAACCCAGGCAGAGTCTTCAAGTCTGTGTTACTACCACTTCCTCCTGCCACTTACCTATGACTAAACCTCAACTATCCTGACGATGGCTAAGAACCAGTAATCACAAAAGGGCATATAATAGATGTCATAAAGTCAATGCTCAGCATCTTTTCAGCATTTCCACTGATTTTAAATATAATCCCAGCAAGTTTGGTCACCATTCTCAGTTTACATTACATAAAAGTACCAATTCAGATGGCACAGTGAACTCACCAAGAGCAGCCAGCAATTGAAGTGATAACAAAAATGACAGAAAGCAGGCAACAGAAAATCAAAATCAAAAACAAACAAAAAGCGCCCTAACCGGTTTGGCTCAGTGGATAGAGCGTCGGCCTGCGGACTGAGAAGTCCCGGGTTCGATTCCGGTCAAGGGCATGTACCTTGGTTGCGGGCACATCCCCAGTGGGGGGCATGCAGGAGGCAGCTGATTGATGTTTCTCTCTCGTTGATGTTTCTAACTCTCTGTCCCTCTCCCTTCCTCTCTGTAAAGAATCAATAAAATGTATTTTTTAAAAAACAAACAAACAAACAAAAAGCAGTTAGTGGTCATCTCATATTAGAGTTAACTCCCGCTCTTGAGCCATTTAGTATTAGGACAAACTCCTGCTCTTGAGTCAAATTCAACCTGCACCAGTAGCTAAGAATGGTTTTTATATTTTCAGATGGTTAGGAAAACACACATAAACAAGAATATATGACCTGCAAAGCCTAAAATATGTACAGAAAAATTGTTTAGACACACAGCACCATTATATCTTAGATGCTCCAAGAACTCAATGTGTTCAAATATTTATTGAGCACCTACTATGTGCCAAGCACTCTCTTAGGTACTGGGGATGTAACAGGCAAACTTATTGAGTTTACATTTTGACTTAATAAAAGGACCCTCAAAGTGACAACTCTAAATATGAGGAAACCAAGATTCCAAGGGGAAGTGCTTGCAGATCCCTACATGCACAGCTTCCTTAGAGCCAGAGTTGGGTTTTTGGCTCCCTGAACCCAGGACCTAGCAAGGGTTAAATATATGTGGTGGAGGGGAAGGGCTAAATATATGTGTCTGGAAAATGGCATATTAAGTTCATATATTCTGAGAAGGGACTGTGATGAGACTAACAACGGGCCTTATGATTATAGGTGCTTCCCATACTCTTGAAATATGCCTGAAAAACTTTAATTCAAGAGCCTTAATTTGCTACGTACATATGTTTATAAGGGTAAATATATTCCTGAAATATCTTCAAGTTGATAATTGAGAGTGACTTCATTCACGTAAATAGATTTTCATTAGGCTATTGCTCAACTTCTTTTGATCTCATGGTTTAGTAGTTACCTTCACTAAAATCAATCTAAAATAGGTAACAGTCTATATTTTTAAAATATGCATTGTACAAGTCTCAAGAATCTTCCATGTTGAAACATTCGGTCTTATACCAAAATTTCTGAAAATTAGTAACAACAGTATGTACATAGAGGGCTCTCCTTATCCAATCTCCTTATAGCCAATCAACGAAATTTCTATTGCCCAAGTTTCATAAATCATGTCAAACAAGTCAAGATTAATAATATCTATACCACTGAGTCCTTCCTCCCCATACATAAAAATTAGTCTCTTCTAATGCCAAAACTTCTCTATATTGAAAAGAAAAGCACCCTAGCCGGTTTGGCTCAGTGGATAGAGTATGAGCGGACTGAAGGGTCCTGGGGGTTCAATTCCAGTCAAGGGCACATGCCCAGGTTGTGGGCTCCATCCCAAGTAGGGCCTGTGCAGGAGGCAGCCAATCCATGATTCTCTCTCACCATTGGTGTTTCTACCTCTCTCTCTCCCTCTCCCTTTCTCTGCGAAATAAATAAAAAAATATATTTTAAAAAGAAAAGCCTTCCATTTAACAACTTTAGATTTGTGCTGTTGCCTCCTTAGTCTTTGATTGCTTTATTTGATGGTGGTGTGCCTGTGAACCTTTTTAAATGGATAAATGATCATTTACAACTATTTAACAAAACAAAGCCTCTTTTCTCCTACGAATTAAAAGCCTCACAAGCAACCCTTCAAAACTTGAAACTCTTAGGAAACAAAATATCATGCGCCCAAGTTATCCTGAGCAAGGTTTCACTCAAAGCAAAATAGCTAGCTGATTGCATGTGGGAGAAGACGAGTTTCTCCGCATGCCACAAGCAGCATCTTTTCAAGCTCCTGGTCATCGAAGAATCAAAACAAACCAGGCTAGGATCACAACACTACTATTCCAGTCCACCCCCCACCCCACCCCACCCCATCCCCCGACACCTAACTGGTTTCCCATCCGGAAAGATGGGACTACCGAAAGAAACGAAACTAAACCCAAACCTTCCGTAACAAAAACTCTCGTGGCGACTTCCCTGTCCAGGTCCCTAAATGTCAGGCCCTCCACGGGATGGAGCCAGGCTCCCGGCACCGGAGTCTCACGGAACTGGTGCAGGGGCAGGACGTGAACCCGAGCCCAGGGAGCTAAGCGGATCGGGGGTTCCAATATGAAATTGAGGAGCCCAGAGGAGGAAAAGTTCATTCTGCCACGAGCAGGGCTGCGAGAGTTGGAAGGAGCGAGGGAGGCGCCCGGGAGGTGACGAGCTACAGCCCACGGAGAGTGCGGGGAGGAAGGACTGGGGAAGGAACCCCACGGAAAGTGGAGGGGAAGCGCAGAAGCAAACCCACTCGGGGCCACCCCGGCTCCGGTGCCCCGCGGCGCCCCCGGCTCAGCCCACACTCCCCGCCGGCTGCCGGGACTTCCCAGGCCCCAGGCTCCCCGGGCACCTCGGTCACGGGCACGGGCACGGGCCTCCGGGGCGAAGAGTGCAGTGGGGGCTTCAGGGAAGCTCCCCTCCCGAGGAAGGTCTTCCCGCCCCACGAGATCGGGATGGGGGCGCCACGAGCCCCACCCAGCTCTTTGGAAGATGGCAGTACGGCGCCCCACGCCCGCCACGGCACCGCGGGCAGGTGCCCCCGAACGCGGACACTCACTTTCTCGTGGAAGATGGACTCCATGTTTATTTGTCTGGAGCCAACGGCCCCCGCGACAGACCACCCCCTACTGC